GCCTAGCATCCTCTTCCTGTGGAGGGACATGCGAGGGAGGAGGAGTTCGGGTGCAACTCTTGGGAGGTTACTTTCAGCATTAGCGCTGGTACACCCGTGGTCGAACATCTGCCGATTCCGGCATCACAATCTAGCTGGGTCCTGGTTTCGAAGACGCCTACGGCGAATCACCGCCGCCCCCTTCTTTTTGGAAGAGCCTATGTACCCGAACGTTGCGGCCAGAGCTCGGCCAAGCTATCAACCACGTGCTCCCCCAGCCGTTGTGGAAACCCTTCGGATGAAACGTGGAGGAAAAAGAAGCAGAGGAGAAGGAGGAATGAAAAGGAGGAGGAGGAGGAGGAGGCCTCCTGGGGCACTCTCGTGGCCTCCTGGGAACTTCCTTGGGGCCCCATTGGGGGGGCTCCTTGGGGCCTCCCTGGGGGCCCCGTGGCTCCCTGGGGAGGCCCGTCGGCGGCCCTGGGGGGCGCTCCTGGCCCGTCGGGCGCCGTCGGCAGCCGCCGTGGTGGGCCGCTCGGGGCCGACTTTGAGGCCTCCGCTGTCGGGACGCTCGGGGTGGGCACGGCAAGGAAGGGGTGCAATGTCGGGCGAAGAGAATTACGGTAGGTTTGCGTCGTGTCGACCAGCGGCGACCCCAGCGCGGGCGTTCAAGGTTGAACGCCGGCGGCGGCCCAGAATCGGTCGATGTTGAACGATTGGACGTTGCGGCAGCGGCCGATCGTTCAAGGTTGAACGATCCCTGCGGTGTCAAAAACCAACGCTGGGGTCGGCACGACACGAACCTGCCGTATGCACATGCACCGATCCTGACAATGTCCATCCCTGACCCAGGATCGGTGCATGTGCCTTCCTGGCCAAGGTGTGTGCATGATTCTTTTTCCTCTACACTAGGGGAACAGAAAGTGGCATAAACACAAACATATCGGAGGCCCGCGCGGATTTCTCGGATCGGCGCTGGACCCCCCTCCCTGGCGCGCGGAGCCCGCCAGGGGCGGCGCCGGCGGCGCCGCCGGGGGGCCTCAGCGCCGATCCGAGAAGTCCGCGCGGACCTCCGAGCTTTTATGTTTATGTCATTTTTTGTTCCCCTAACGAAGCCCAACAGCAGTTCCTGCTCAGCTTGACCACAGCTCGCTGTCCCCGCCGCCGCGGCCTGTGCCCACTTGGGACACGAGGCCGCCTGCCCAGCAGCGGCCGCTGTTGGTTTGTGGCAAGATCTGCTGCTGGGCATCGTGCGCATGTTTTTTCCATACCCATTTCGGGCTTCCAAACGTTCGGCTCTTCAGGGCCGTCGGCCGAAGAAGAAAGCGCCATACATACAAACGTTTGGCGCTCCGCGTGGATTGCTTGGATCTGCTCTGGACACCCCTCCCTGGCGCGCGGAGCGCGCCAGGGGCGGCGCCGGAGGCGCCGCAGGGGGGTCCCAGCGCAGATCCAAGAAATCCCCGCGGAGCACTAAAAGTTTATGTTTATGGCGTGTTTTCTTTTTCCAGTCTTGGAGACCATCTTGGGCGTCTTGGAGGTCTCCTGGGCCGTCTTGAGGCCCTCTTAGGGCCGTTTTGCAGGCCTCTTGGGCTGTCATTGGGCCATCTCGGAGGCCTCTTGGGCGCTCTCGGGGTCATTTTGGTGGAATCTGGGGCCGCGTTGGGCCGCCGGGAAGCCGAAACATCGCAAACGCCAGAACCCTTCAAACACCGAAGGAAAATCAATGATTTGGACCGTTTCGGGCCTTTCTGGAGGTCCTTTTGGAGGCCTCTTGAGCCGTCTTGGAGGTCGTCTTGGGAAATCTTGAGGCCATTTTGGGCCATCTCGAGAACATCTCGGCCCGTCTTGGAGACATGTTAGGACTGCCAAGATGCCAACTTGGGCCATCATTGCCGTCTAGAAGGCGTCCTTGCGGCCATCTTGTGCCATCTTGGCCGTCTTCGGCGATTTTCTTTGGACGTCGAGTCGTTGAAGTCTTTACGCATCCTTCCGCGTCCTTCTGGGTGGGCGGCGGGATGGGCCGAAGGTCTCCTAGAAATCGCAAGCAAAATGAATACACCACCTAACGTTTGGCACGCCGTGCACCCCTGTGTCAAGCCACATTGGGCGGCGGATGGCGGAAAAGCACGCGTACCGTGCGATCCGCCAGTGGTAAGAAGTAAAGCTAAGGGGAGTTTGAGGGGCTTGGTATCCCTAGGCCCAGGTCCATAAGGGCTTGGCGACTTTTCGCCAATCGACTTGTGGGGATCGAGCCAGATAAGTCCAGGTAGATTCCGATAAATCGAGGTAAATCCAGGTACATCGAGATACATCCGGGCACATCCAGGTCAATCCAGAGATCTCCAGGGAAAGTTGGAGCAAATCGCGGCCGCTCCAGCGCGAGTCGACGGACGGCAGAGGTCGTCAAGCCTTTAACGACCAGGGACGACAGAAAGCGCGCACAGCGTGCAGTCCGTTCATCGGAGGGGGGGTGGGGGTGAGGGAGTTGTCAGCTCTGGTCCCAGAGATCTCGTGACCACACTGGCGACCCCGCCGTGGACATCCTCAAGCAACTGTCCTCTCGTGGGATCGCCCTCGGATGGCCTGAAAAGGGGCCCAACATCGCCCAACGAGATGGTTCTGAGGCGCTCTATTTCCTTTCCCAAATGGCGAGTTCCTTGGGGACATTCTCACACACATGGGATGTTTTCGACATCGGCCGTGCCCAACATAGCGATTTCGCAAGGGAAGTGCTCGCGAGCAGGGGATGTTGTCGACGTTGTCTTGTCTCGGTGTTAGCCAGCATGGCGATTTCTCAAGGGACATCCTCACACAATTGGGATGTCGTTGACATCACCCTTGCCCAACATGGCGATTTACCTAGGGACCTTCTCTCACACATGAGATATAGTCGACAACGTGTTGGTCTCGGTCTTTGCCAACATGGTGAAGTCGCTAGCGGCATTCCCAAACACTGAGACGCTGTGGATATATATATATATACATATCAGTATTGTCGCTCTTGCCCAACATGGTGAGTTCGTTATGAACATCCGCACGCAATGAGATTGTATCGTCGTCGTCTTGAAAACACTCTACTATGGCCAGTGGGGTTAAACCGACCAGGCGGGCTCAAATGGCCAGGCAGGTTAAAATGCACAGGTGGGTTCAAATGGCCAGGCGGGTTCCAACGACCAGGCGAGCAGTCATTGCCCAGGCGGGTTACAGCGGCCAGGCGGATTAAGACGACCAGGCGGGTCAAACTTGCCAAGGATGTCAGCACGGCCATGCGAGTTGAAATGGCCATGCCGATGAAGTCAGTCACGTGGTCGTAATGGCCATGCGGCTTGAAGCAGACATGCGGGTCAAACTGGCCAGGCGGGTTTAACGGCCCAGGCGGGTTGGAAAGGCCAGGCGGGTTGTAACTACCAGGTTGGTTGACGCGGCAGCGCCGTGGACATTATGAATCACATGATCAATCTCCGTTTTCGCATGTTTACAAGGATGTTTCTAACATTGTCTTGCAATCGCTCTTGAAGGGCTTACGGACGACTCAGCAGGCCCCGAAGACAGCCCGGGAGTCTCCCAAGACGGCCACGGAGGCCCCAAGACGGCTCCCCGAGGGTGAGGCACGGGCGAGGGGAAGAGAGGACGCAAGAGGAGGACGAACGGACAAGCCAGCGATCTCGCGCCATCGCAAAGGAGGTTGCGGTTTCCGTTCCCGTGCCAAGCAGGTACTCCAGATTTAGTAATAAAGAGAGGGGGGTCTCATTTCGGGGGGGGGTCTCTTCCAGGCTATCTTGGAGGGCCTGGGGGGGTCTGGGGACGATGTTTTGGAGGGATCTCCCACGGGGGAGGTCTGAAATGGCTTGTCTTGGAGGGTCCAGACCCCCTCCCTTTTATTACGAAATCTGGAGTAACGGAAAGAGCGAGGTACGAGCGATGATGTTTCGGTGGGGCGAAGTTCTCTTAGGGACGGGTTCCACGGGGAGGGGCGAGGCGCGGGCGAACGGGGCGCCAGGGCGGCATCGTGTTCTTTCGGGTGAACCGGTCGGGGGCGCCAATGACGGCCCGAGGGAGGCCCGCGAACGGCCCAAGAGAGCACCAGGACTGCTCCATGAGAGCCCCAGGAGGGCCCAAAGAGGCTCCGAAGGGGGCCCCAAAAGGCCCCAAGGAAAAAGCTCCGAGACGGCCGAAGGTCGCCAAGACGGCCCAAGATGTCCCCTGACGCCCGAAGAGGCTTCCAAGACCCAAGAGGGCCCACAGAGGCAACCTCATTGGTTTCTGATAGGCTTTAGGGTTTCCGCCTTTTCGGACCCAGAATGGCCCAGACGGACCACGCGGCCCCACAAATGGCCCGACAACCGTCCAAGAGGGCCCCAAACGGCCACGAATGTCAGGCCTCCAAGACGCCCCAGGACGGCCCAAAATGGCCCCAGGACGGCCCGACCAGGCCCCAAGACGGCCCAAAAGAGCACCCAAAGGGGCCCCCCGACGACCCCTAACAAGCCCAAGAGACTTCGAGTAACAGTATGGCTCCCAACAGCGAGCGGTAACATAACAAGCTCTGAACACCACGGCTCCCTAGAGCGCGGAGACGGAACAAGTTCTGAATAGCAAGGCTCCCAAGAGCGAGCGGCAGCGCGAAGTTCTCGGAACACCGGGGCTCCCGAGAGAGAGCGGTGTCCGTGCCAGTGGTTTCCAAAGCTTCGGGCTCTCTCTCTGTAGTTTGGACTTGGTTGGGAAACCCAGCGTTGTCCCCGCGTGTCCCTGCAACTCGCTCCAGAACCCATGTACAATTACATACATGTGCCAGTGGGCTCTGCCCTCACCGCCGAAACGAGCTTCCCAGGGCGACGCCTCCAGGAAAAAACATCAAACAAACAATGTGTTGCAGCGTGTTGCGCAGCATTTCGAGGGACACGGGCAAACTCTTAGCGTTTCCGCCACTTTGCCCCTGGCCGCGCAGGCCGTTCAGAGTTGGCGGTGACGTTCACAAGCTCTTAACACCAGGGCTCCCCAGAGCGAGATAACGTAGAAAG